TCAACCATCAGAAATGGTTAGAAACCCTTAAGGAAAAGACCAAGGCAAAAAAATTCGGCACAAATTGAATATGTACTACACCACTGCAAGAGGAACAGGTTGCCCGGAGAGGTGGTAGATGCCCCATCCCTGGGAACATTCAAGGTCAGGTTGGACGGGGCTCTGAGCAACCTGATCTAGTTGAAGAGTTGGACTAGATGGCCTTTAAAGATCCCTTCCCACCCAAACTATTCATGATTCAATGATTCTATGAAGAGGCACGGCTGGCAGGAGGCAGCGAAGCCGGTGGCGAGACCTCTCCAGCGGCCGGGAGGGAATGCTGCGGGGGGAAACCAGGGGCTCCTGGCACCCAGATGCCCAGCAGCACATCTTCAGGGCCAGGTGCTGCTCGCCTGGGAGCCCTGATGCAGGATTAGCCAACGGAGTGCACCCGGGCCTCCAAAAAGCAGTAGATGGGCTCACCTTAAAGATGCTGAGCTGTTAAAAACAGGTCCAGGGGCTCTTGAGGAGCGGGAACTGGTTACGGATGGGGAAGGAGGAGCTGGTGCAATGGGTTCTGTGGCTGGACCCATCCCAAACGCGGCTGGGGAACAGCCCGTTGTCGGAGCCGATGCTGCTTTGGGATGGGTTAGCGGGTCTAACCAAAAGTGCGTCTCCTCCCCATCCCCGACCTGTGCTACTGCATTAGGCTTAAGCTGGGTTGTTTTTTTGTTGGGGTTTTTTTTAGCTTCATATACGTCTGGCAGAGGAAAGACCCTTTAAAAGAAAGAAGCGTTTTATGGACGATGCCGACAGATTCGCAAGGCGGCTTTAAAACACCATCCCCTCCGCCTTATCCTTCCCCGTCCGCCTTGGCTTTTCCCGTGCAGTCCTCCAAGCTCCTTCATTTCCTCACTCTCCTGGAAGGCTTTTCTTATTTTCTGTTTTTCCCTTCTTCCCATCTCTCTTTTCCTCACAGAAGCTCTTCGGTGAGCAGAGAAGACAGCCCCTTCGGTGGCACAGCTTGCTGACTTCACCCTGGGGTCAAGCCCAGCTCCCCGAGGTGTCAGGGCTGGAGAGCATCCCTAGCTGGGGACAGGAGAGCATCCCTAGCTGGGGACAAAGCCACTGTGAGCTGGAAAGGAGAGAGCCTCGGGGCTGGGACAGAGCCCACGAGTTCAGGAGAGCCCCTTGCTGGCATCACTGCTGGTCCTACCAGGAGGTCCTGCCCAGTGCCTTCACCCAACAAGCGTCAAGGTCTTGCTCGGCCGTTTCCCAGTGCAGGTAAATCAGTGCAGCTCAATCTGGTTTTTCTGGACTGCGCACACAATTTTGGCGCAGATGCCATGATGAGTGACCCTCAGCTCTTCCCATAGCAGAAGCTCGGTCCCCACCGACGTCCTGTTCCTGGGCATCACCTCTGCTCCAAAAATCAGTGCTGCTGAGAGAGGCAGGGCAGAAAACCTGCAAAGCTCATGGGAGAGGACGTCACTGGAGGAGGGTGGAAAGAGCTCCTGGGTCTGCAGGGTAAGGTGGACCACCATGGTCTCGGAGCAAGCCCCAGGAGAAGCTGCCAAACCCTCATCTTCATGGGCAGAAACATGGTCTGCCTTCAGCAACATGCCAAAAACCTCCTCCTTGCCTGCATGTGGTGTTTAGGAAGGGGACTTCTCTTATTGCCCCGAATTTATCTATAAATTAGCGAACCCTACCTTGGCTCATTTACTGCTGTTTCCTCCTGAACGTGTTCCCTGCACGACGTTCTCCATGGAAGAGTGAAGAAGACTGATGTACACTCACTTTCCAGAATAATTTTCCCCATTCGGAAACGAGGAAAATAATACTCCACTGGGGTAATTTTGAGGGAAAATGCATCAAGGATAGGAAAATATCAACAAGGGAAAATACTCGGGACTCTGCTGTGGAGAGGAGAAGTTGTCCCTCAACCGGGTCAGACCATCTCTGCGAGATGGTTTGACACGGGATTTTCGGTGAGGAGCCTCATCTGCCCCAAATGCCCCCCGCCCCAGGACAGGCTGCATTTCCCGGGGAACCGATAGCTCTCCTGTGCTCAGAAGAAAGTCATTATAAATGTGTAAGACTAGTGCTGCAGAAAAACAGGCCTTTCCTTAAAGCCTGGGCTTGGACTGTTGCCTGGCTCAGTGTCTGTTTCCTATAAATTTCAGAGAATCCCATAAACCGTAGAAATTCAGTGCTGGCTGCCAGCGTGGTTTGCTATTTATTGGAGAAGGGGTTGGATGAAACCCCCTTATCTGAGCACCCCTGACCTCTGGGAGGTGGGAAACGGGGGCTGTTGTTTGGGGCTCCCTTCGTAGGGGACACATCCAAGCCCCGGAGATGACCTCCATCCACCTGGGCCAGCAAGGGGAGGTGGAGGGAGGGACCCCCGTGCTGGTGATGGGCTCTGGTGGGACCTGGGGGTGGTCCATCCCCCAGGGGGGAACACCTGATGGCTTTGCTGCCGCAGAGTCATCTTCACCCCAAACCAAGGATGCCTCCAAGAAATGCACGAGGAAGGGAGTGCATCAAGGCTGGTGGAGCCCTGGAGACAGCTTAACCTTCTTCAAGCCAAGAGGCCTCCTCAGACATAGGGATTACTCTACACCAGTGAAAGGATGATAACTAGAAGCGATGCACTGCGTGGCAAACATCCGCCGACCCTTTGGCATGCTGTCCGACCCATCGCCTCCCAAAACCAAAAGCAGAAGTGCTTCATCTCCCCGGGCAAGGGGGCTGGAGATGCAGACCGGCTTTGGGGAAGGGTCACCAAGCTTGTGGGGATGGATGCTCTCTACTGTGGCATGGCCACGGCTCTCCCGTGGAGGCAGGGGCTGTGTTGGGGGTGGTCTCCACCACCTCCTGGGCTGGTAAGCACTGGAGAAAGGCTTCATCCTCAGTGTTGTCTCTCCAGAGAGCTCCTTGCTGGAGCTGTGATGCCCACCACGGGGTCTGTTAACACAGACTCAGCACTGTTATCTCAGCACTGACCCAGCGCAGCAGCTATTGACATCTCTGTCTTAGGGGTGGAAACGTGATGCAGGAGCCCATCAACCTCTTCCCTCCAGAAAGGACACGTCCCCTGGGGATGCGCTTTGCAGAACAAATCTGGCATCAGGGCTTGGTCCTCTACTGAAGCCCAATTCAACTGGCCCAGGCTCCTTGGGATAATTTGCTCGTCTAATGAGTGCTTGGCACCAGGCAGTGAGAAAAGCCCACTTTCCTCTGCTCCGGGAAAGGAAAGGAAACCGCAGTCCCGAAGCGCGTTGTGGTTTTGGTTGGCGGACCTCGGCGTTTGATGGGCTGCCAGGAACATCTCGGCGCCGATGTCTCCCTTACGTTAGCACCCGTCCCTGCAGTGCTCACACCTTTGCAAAGCTTGTGCCAGGGAGGTATCCAGGGGTTAGTTTGACCTCCCACAGCATCAGGCCAGGCATTTCCACCCCACAACTCGGATAAAGTCCTGCACCCCCACAGCACGGTATTGCAATCCTGTAGGCCAGAGTTACCTCCAAAACACCCAAGAGATAGCTCTGGAAAACAAGCATGAAATGCTGGTTTCTTTATTCTTGCAGCACGCAGGGCTCTGTGCCCCGCTGGCAGCCTCTGCCTTGGTAGGACGATGGAGACTTGTCCCAGCTACATCAGCCCAGAAACCCTGGGCTTCCAGTTAGATGGGATGGGGTGATGGAAATAGCACCCAGCGGCGTTCTTCAAGGCTACGCAGCACTGCATAAATATCTCCAGCCACATGGCCTGGAGAGCCATCTCCAGGAGGTCAGCTTGTGCCCAGACTGGGGTGACTGGGAGAGCAGTGGGATGAACAGAACCATCGTG